TTTTTAAGTGAATTTACAGCAGCTCGGAGGTGGCTTTCGGTATGACTGGGGATCAGAGGATAAGCCCCTCCCCTCTGGGATCAAAGTTTGCCAGCCCTGCCTACGGAAGGGGGAGGTGCTTTCCCAGGAGTAAGGAGTCAAGGACTGCCCCACTCTGGACCACCGAGAAGGAAGCTCCACGGTAAGTTAATACAAATCTTCCAATCGCGATCTACCTGTTGGACATACCTGCTTTAAATGAACCATAGCATCACAGAGTTGGAAGGGGCTATACAGGCCGTCTAGTCCAACCCCAGCTCGATGCAGGATCAGTCTAGAGCAGGGGTGGCCAAACTTGCTTAATGTAACAGCCACACAAAATAAACATCAGGTGTTTGAGAGCCGCAAGACATGAACAAATATTACACATATGTTATTATTGAAAAATATGCAAATTTGCTTTTTATTAACATTAAATTAGACTGTGTGAAAGAGCCACATGCGGCTCCCGAACTGCAGTTTGGCCACCCCTGGCCTAGAGCATCCCTGACAAGTGTTTGTCCAGCCACTGCTTAAAATGGTTAAGAATTAATCAACTGTTTCATATATGTGCCAAAAGTTTCCAATCTACATTTTCTCTTTTTTATTTTTTCAGCCACTTAAATGTCTTGCACGTTTTGAAAAACACATAGTGTCTAAAAATATATTTTACATACTTAAAACATAATATTAGAATTATGAGATTATTAGAATTAACAGGGGGAAATTACTGTGGGGCACAACTGCTTGGTCCTCCCTGTTTGCCTCCATGGTTACAGTGGAGACCCCAGCGCCAGCAAAGGCCTCAGGTGCAGAGAGGGGAGGGGTTAGCCACACACCTCTTCCCAAGTCTCTGCTCTGCAGCCTGGAACCTTAGAACCTCCTCTCTGGCTTCTGGTTTAGCCCCTTCTATGGACCTGGCTTAATTGTGCAGGTGCACAACAGCCTTCCTTGACCTCTGGCACCTGCCCCCTTTTTGTCTGATAGCCTGGCCAGTCTGGCCTATTTGCAGTTGCTGCTGGCAGTTCCTTAAAGGGGCCGCTCCTTGATGTATCGGAGCTATCAGTTGTGGGGCCTAGCATCATCTCTTGCCGTCAGGGCCACCATAGGAGTGGTTGGCAACCTGAAGATCAGGGCCCAGGTCATTGCCATCTGCTACAGCCCAGATAAGTTTAGGAGAAGGTATGGTCTTGGACAGTGATTTTGGTAGAAGCTATTTTGTGGGAGCTTTTTGTTTGCTTCTAAAACATCTAGCGTGTTGTAATAGAATTTCACCTTTTATAGTTTAAATGTGCATAATTTAATTAAGTGTGTTTGATTTTAGGGGGATGAAGGATATGCTGTTAGTCTTTTTGTTCCTAGGCATTTTGGTAGATTTTTAAGGTCATATTTTTGTATTTATCTCTCTTTAATTTAGCGAATCATTCCTCAAAGATAACTGAAGCATCTGACGCAACAGTAGTAATGAGAGATTCTGAAGAAGTAAAGAATATTGAAAATGCAGAAGAACAAAGTAATGGTATTAGAAAGTCGACAAAGGAAGTCAATGGCAATAACTCTGTCAACAATGAGCCGACATCCTGGGACTTAAATTTTAATGATAAAGTTAAAGAAAAAGACTCCTTAGGGGATCTTGGTCACGTTACTGACACAAATGAACTCATAAGTGCCAAGGAATCTCATGAGTCTTCAGAAAATGATAGGGCAGTTGTGGGCAAGCAAGAGATTCAAGATAACGCAAAAACCTGCTTGGACTTTGAATTGTCTAGCGATAGTGAAAGTGACAGTGGGTTGGATGCTAGGAAGTCATCCTCCTCTTCTGCCTCCGATAGTGAAAATGAAGGGAAAAGAAGCTGGAGAAAATCAAAGAAATCTGTACAGGAAGAAAGTACATTTCTGCTGGGAACTGATACAAATGTAGAAAAGGATGGGCAGTCTAATCATTCTGGAGACTCAACGTCCTCTGCTAACAATCCCCATCCCAAGGCATTTGATCTAGAAGTACATGAAGAGAGTGAACAAGATAGTCTTTGTAGTCTAGGAAATGGATGTGTTGACAAGAAGGAGGCAGAGACGGAGTCACAGAATAGTGAACAATCAGGGATAACCGTGGGAGAATCTTTAGATCAGAGCATGGAGGAAGAGGAAGAAGACGATACAGATGATGATGATCACCTAATATATCTTGAAGAGATTCTTGTTCGAGTACATACGGATTATTACTCAAAGTATGACAAATACATAGCAAAGGAAATTGATGATGTTCCAGATATAAGAACAATTGTACCAGAACTGAAACAGAAAGTATTATCAGGTGTTACTGTGTTGTTTAGTGGACTGTATCCTACAAACTTTCCCATAGAAAAAACACGTGAGCATTATCATGCCATTGCCCTTGGAGCCAACATTGCAAAAAGCCTAGTACTGAATGATGATGATCCCAATAAGCCAACCCACCTTATTGCGGCTAGAGCTGGTAAGTGTAATGTTGAATGGATCCAACCCATGAGAGAAACATTTACAAGTGATGGTTTTTGTTGATACATGATCATCTGTAGCTTACAGTAATACAGTAAGCCTACAAATTTGTGATTTGAAGATTTCAATGCATGAGTATTTTTTTTAAGAGGACTCCTGTGTTGAGTGAACTGATAGGACTTCAAGCATTCTGTAAAATCGGTCTTCTACCTCTTTGCTTCTTGCTTGATTTCTGGAGAAGTGTAGATAATATCTCCGGCCAGTTGGTTCTATAACATGCTTTGTGGAAGTACAAAACTATGTTTAAAACATAAGACTGTTGGTATTTTTATTGCAGAAGAAATAATGCAGCTAAGGCCTCAAACTTGTAGTCATTTGCATGATAAATATCATTTTTGAAAGTATGGTTAAACTGCTGAAATCAATTTGACTTAACTGTTCTTAAATCCTGTTGGTTTCAGTGGAGATTAGATTTGCCTCATCTTTTATAAACTGCATCCATGGACTAATTTATTGCTAACTTTTTCTATGAAGAGTGCTAATGTTTGGTTGTTTAAATAGGCACAGAAAAGGTCAGGCAAGCCCAGAACTGTAAAAATCTCCATATTGTAAATCCAGACTGGTTGTGGAGCTGCTTGGAGCGTTGGGACAAAGTAGAAGAACAGCTCTTTCCTTTGAAGGATGATTACCTGAAAACACAAAGGTAAAAAGTAGCTAATCAAAACAATACAAATTCTACCTTTGCATAAGGTTAACTCATTGATTAAGCATGGTAAAAATGAATCAGATTATATCCACTTAATGTGGATTTGGAGGGAATAGAGGAAAATATATAAAGTACAATAAAGGAGGAAATGTGAACTGTAGGAAGGTAGTTTTCTCAGAATCCCCATGGATTTGAACTTCAAAACAAATTTATTTAGTGGAATGTAGTACCTTCCCATGAAATTCTCACTATTTATGAGACCTCTGCATTGGAGGCTTCAGCTGAAATCTCCGGACAATGATAAAAATGCTTACATGGAACAATTCTTGTGGAGGTGGGATGGTGCTTCTAAACCCAGCTTTGTCTATGGAAATGCAGGCAGCAAATGAGTGTTGGTATTAAGGCCCTAAGGGTAATGGGGCCAGGAGGGGCTGTAAGAACTTTCAGCACGCTTGCATTTATATAAATACCCATAGGTAGGATCAACCCCTGTAAATTAAAGATACCATACCTTGTTAGATACAGCCCGACACTTGGTTGGAATCATGCAACTTTTTTATTCCCTATCACCTGTTTCCTCTTCTTACCATGGGTCTAGGCAGGTCCTTTGATCCCCTAGCATAGCTATTACAGTGGTTGAAAAGGACCCGCTCCTCTCTCTGTAGCCAGTGGAAAAGCTGGTTAGTTCCAGTCCATTGAATGTCAGAGTTCTGTATTATGAAGTGACGGTGCTTTTCTGAGAATATTATTATGCATTGTGTCTTAACAGACCAAGGTTTAGATTCTTTAAATAAGATTCATAATTTCAATAACATCTGCATATTTTCTGTGTGTGTAAATGGTGTTTTGGTAGTACCAGTAGTAGTAAACACCTACTGGAAGGAGGTTCAAAAGGTGTTAACACAAATAACTAAAAGACAAATTCCACTAGACCCCGAAGTGTTCCTGCTGAATCTATTCCCTGATGACTGGAAGAAAAAAGAAAAATATTTAATTTTACATGTACTAACAGCAGCGAGAATTTTACTCACCATGGGTTGGAAGAACGAACGGGTACCAACTAAAGGACAACTGATAAACAAAATAATCAATGTAGCAGAACTAGATAATTTAACACAGAAAGTGAATGGAAACATGAATAGCTTATTTCGGAACGTTTGGTCACCACTCTATAGATGGTTAAATCAAATTGATCAGAGCTAGTAGTTAATGGCAAGAGGATAGAGGAGATCTGTTTTTGTTATGTAGGTTAGTATGTTGGGTATGTGTGGGTGGGTGTTGTTATGTATGTGTTTTTCGGTGAGGGGGAGTTGTTGTGTTTATATTTTGTGGAAAACGAATAAAAATTATAAAAAAAATAATAAATGGTGTTTTGGTCTCACTTAATGTAAGCAACATATTTTGTTTGCAATATAAAAAGCTAATGAACAAGACTGAGGTTAATTGCTAACTTAAAATGTCTAAATATTTAATTCACCAGAGAAGACAGTCCTGCCATGTTTCCAGACATTCATGGTGCTTTCCAGACTGCTCTTTTTCATCCAACTCCCATCCATCCAAAGTGTCAGCCTGGTCCTGAAGTTCGACTTTATGATCCCAACACTGGAAAACTAATTCGGAAAGGATCTCAGAGCTCCAGTCAGTCTCTCTATATTCAGCCACCAGCTCCTCCCCTCACGCTACCTGTCCATGGGGAACATTCCTCTTTCAGGTACATGAAAATGTAGCTTGGCTTCTTTAATGACTTTCACATTTTGTGTGGTGACAAGATTTTTTAAGGTTAAAAAGATATAATCCATGTTCATTTTATGTGACTTACCTTTTCAGGAAAATAAATACCATGGGATGTCACAGTTTTGTTGATAATATTAATTTTAAAAATTCATAGCAGTTTTCTTTCTTTCTGCTGATTGAAATTACACACATTTTGTTCTTTATTCCAAGGTAGGATTATGAAATGATCATCTAATTGCATTTGAACTTCCTACTATAAATTACTGTTTCATTTACCTCAGCCATTGGTTTCTTTGGGTTCTGCTTTCTGGGTAGTAGTATGTTATTTATTAATTTAATCTCCAATACCAACTGTACCACTATAGGCTGCATTCAGATATTTGCTTATGATCAGCTCAAGCCTTCAGTTAAGCTCCAGTTTGTATGACATCCAAATGCAGGTCCCTAACTAGTGTGAACTTGTTTCTTCCCCATAAACCAGGGTGGTTTTTTTTTGTTTTATGTGCTATTGAGTGCAGTAGCAAACAAACTTTGTTCCCATCATGAACAAATCTTGCTTGTTAGAGATGTCTGAATGCTGCTTATATTTTTTCACAAGCAATTTGAATTCCACAATTCTGGAGACAGTTTTTGGTAATTTCTGTTTTATATATTTTCAAAAGGAGAGTCAGCATGCCTCTGTTTAATCTGTGTGTGTATTTGCATAAGGCTCAGAACCAAAGTAATCTGCTGTGGGCTTCTTTTATATTGAAACTGCAGATTATATTTGTAGTGTATCTTTTAAACATCTCCTTTAAGCATTGAAGTTCCAGTTTACTTTGTGTTTTTAACATCCTGGCTTAAAAAGAATTCTCTGAACTCAAAAAGTTTGCATTAAAGACATAGTAAATTCAAATGGTCATTATAAAGGCATTTTCTCCTTGCATGAGCTACCTTTAGGGTTATTGAACTCTTATGTACAGGGGAGAACACTTGAAGCCTGATGTGTGAACGTGGTTTGTACAATCTAGCACAAGAGGGCAGCCATTCACCTTTTACTGAGAACTGGACTTAATCCCTGCTATGCTAGTGCTGTGCTCCAAGACCCTGCCTGGCTCAGATGTGCCATGTACAGACTTTTGTTAACAGGCCACAAGGAACCTTTTACATAATGACTGCAGAATATTAGAACTTTCCTTGGCTGTATTTCTGTTCTGTGCTGTTGTAGCTGCTCATTAAGACAGGTCTGCTAGGTCAGGATTTTCAGAAATGGAAGCTTACACTAGGATTCCATATCTAATAGCCTACATGCTTGGCACCATATTTTGCTCTGGAAATACTTGGTGTCCTTCTTTTCAAACATATTGTAATGGCACTGAGACTGGGTTAATTATGGTGCTCTGCAACGATTCACATCCTTTCTATAAAGTGTTTGAGTCAGCAGTACTGCAGTTTGCTCCCCAACTTTGCAAGAAGGGCTCTGTTTCAGAGTTATCTAAGCCTTCATGAAGCAAAAGAACAAAGCTCATAGCAGGAATTCTTAGTGTTCCCGGGTAGTAATTTCTCTCCCTGTTCCAAGAAAGAAATCCTTTACGGCAGTGATCTCCAGTGCAGCATTCCCTAATGAGTTTCCTGGTGCCTGCTTAGTTCTTGAGTCTTTGGAATAAAATGGAACGTGGCAGGAGTGGAGCCACTTTTGGTCACTCCCTACTAGTTGACTAGCTATCAAAGCACTGAGCTTATCCCAGGCAGATGCATTACAACTTTGCTGTTGGAATAGTAATCTATTCTGGTTTTCTTGTTTCTCTTTATAGTAGGATGTACTTCAGGAAAACACGGGCAGTATCATTTAGGCATCAGCAGCGAACACCTGCTCAGGAGCGGCTGCTTGAGTTGGCTTCCCTCCCCACTAGTGCAGAGCATGCACCAGCTGTATCCAGCCAAGCATCAGCCTGGCTAATTCTCATGCTCAGCTTGCAGTTACAAAGAAGCTCTGACTTGACACAGCCATGTCTGACCGACAGTCATTTTGTAAATGTGTCCACTACCTTTTCTCAAAATACCACAGGTGCCTTGAAGGTTCAGCAAGACTGGAAGCCTCTGCCACAGAGATTGAGAGGGTGTATACCTGTTGTTCCCCTTCAGTTGTAATTGTCCCTGTTCTTTAATCTCAGATTGGTGGGTTTCCAGAATAGTTTTCGGAGGTTTTCCTGCTATTGACCCTTGCAAGGGCAGGTTATATGCACTACCACTGGTGTGTCTTATGTGTTTCGGCCTCAAAGTCCTTCCTCAGTGGTCAATAATATATAACAGTTTTTGGAAACACTTCCAGAAAATAAACAATTTAAATCAATCCTGAGTCTGACCAGGTGATGTTATCTCATATATTGTGTTGTTCAGTGTTAATTTACAAAGCAAACAATGAGTCCTTTCATATGGTAACTGTACTCACACATAAATCATCCATTGATATTGTAACCTGGTATACATTTGTGTGTGTGTCATCTGAACTTGTCTAAGGTGCTGCAGAAAGATACCTAAAGCAGCTTAATATGTTGGAAAATCTTTAGTTAATAGCAAAGAGTTACTCTAGGTGGCTACCTCACTATAGAAGAGCATTGTTATTTTATTTACATTGTACTTCTACATTTAGAAAAGTTGATAGTCTATTCATACACTTTAAAAGTGTCAATAGAGGGAAGTCACTTCAGCTATTAGGTTGGCATATGACACAGCTAAGTTGCAGTGCCCTGTCCTGGTGAAAGCTCATTCAACAAGGGCACAGGCAAAGTCTGCAGTATTTTGCAGCAACATCATAACATCGGCATACATGAGATCTGCAAAGCAGCTACGTGGTCTTCAGCTTCCATATTTGCCAAGCACTACTTGATTGACTTGGACTTCAAGAGAGAAGTGGCTGTGGGGAAAGCAGTTTTGCACTCATTATTCAGCCCACAGCCTACTCCATGGTAAGTGAGCTTGTTATGTGGGACTGCACAGAGGATACAATGATGAAAATGTGGTTGCACTTATGTGTAACTGATGTTCATCGAGTGTCTTCTGTGCAGGCACACATCCCTCCCTCCTTTCCCCACTGTGGTCTGACACTGTTATGCATTTTTCTATACTCCACGATGGCAAAGGGAAAACTGAGGGAAGAGTGCTCCCTCCCCTTCTCTCACATGACCAAATGGTTGAGAAAAGAGGCCTCTGCCTCTACCAGAGGGGAGGGGGAGCACTCATCTAGGAGCTTGTGAATTTTTCTCTTCTGCGGCAGGCCCTGCTTCAGGACAGTCCCATGTGTGCCTGCACAGAAGACATTCGGTGAACATCAATGCAACCGTCTTTTTTCTTTATTACAGTTCTGTAGAGACTCACTGTGAAAGCACTCCTAGACATCGGTCTGTCTCTGTCCAACCTCAGAGACAGAGATTGCAGCATTCTTTAGATATTCTTGATGGCAAGGCAATTCATAAAACCTAAAAATAGGGATTTGTCCTTGTTTGCTCATCCGTTATCAAAATTCCTTAAGGGAATCATTGACCTCTACACAACACTCTCTGGTGCATTAGTGGAATCTATTCCTGATACACAGGGCGTTGCCTGTTTGCTATGATCCCACACACACACTGCCTGCTTCCTTGAGCGAAAAGCCCTGTGTCTTATGAGAAATACCCAAAAAGTTATTAGAGCGGCAGTTAGCTTGTGTTATGAGGCATTGTGCCTCCCCTGTCAATTACCTGTACAAGCCCATTCTGCAAGATCCCCGAAGTCTCGTTGTGGACTTTTCTGAAAAAAAGTATCTGAAAAGAGGGAGAGAGGCATGCTGACAGTTTCCAGCTGGACAAAAAAGCTTCTTTAGACTGTACCCTTCCAACAGATAATTTTGGGGTGTTCCTATCAGCATATCTGTTTCATCAGATAAAACTTTAGGATTCTTGAAACAGTAGTTTTGCAGAAAACAAAATATATTGGATTGTATGGAATGTTTGAATTCTGCTGGCAGACAGATGGGATTTATTCCCACTTCCTTCTCCAGAACTCCATATCACAACCAGTGCTATTCATGAAGCCCCCTGGATACTGAGGGCAGTGATTTTGGAAGGCACATTGGGCTACAATAGGAGGCAGGAGAGGTGCTTCATGTGTGGAGTTCCCTTTGCAATTCATTGGATATGACTCAATCAGCAAATGTTTTGTTCTCTGTAATAGAACTTGTTTTAGAACATTTTTACTTAAGAAATTCACTAAATGAGGTAATGAGTATAATTGAAAGATCTACTCAGTATTGCAGAAGAACCAGGTTTTGTTTTGCTTTGTGAAGTAATTTTCCTTTAATTGCATGCAAGGACTTGCTGCTTGCATCTTCTTAGTGTAGGAAGATCCTTGATCAATGCATGAATGGTTGAGTGGGGACAAATAATTTATTTTTCATTCTCCACATTCTGACATTTGCTGATAAGGTGTGGTTTATATTGTAGTATTACCAACCCTTAAAATTTCATATTGCTAAGCGAAAACAGCCCTAACCTTATACCACTGGAAAGGGTGTGACTGAGGCATGATTTTCTTCAATGTGTATTTGAAAATAGCTTCTACAAGTCTTACTGAAATCTTACTGAAGCCTAATAAATCAGCAGCAAAATCTGGATATCCAGACTATATATTTCCTAGTCCTGTGGTAAATTCCAGTCACTTTGAACACCTATTGCTAGGCAACCACAACAGTATTGGCAGTCTTCAAATTTTGCTATCTGTGTTTAAGGGAGGGGCAAGGCCGTTTCCAGGGCTGCTTTGGTATTTGAGGGAGCCAGGGCCAGCAGCAACCACAGGGCAGCTTGCAACCAAATGACTTGCATGAGTTACACAGGCCTGGCTTCTTGCTCCTGTTCAACAACAGCTGCCTCACGATAGCTGTTGCAGTTTAGCAGTTAAATCTTAAGATTAGAATCTGGGAGACGCACCTTTGAATCCCTTCTTTGCTATGTAAGTACACTG